GGATATACCTAGATTTACGATATACGTAGCCTTTCAGGACTGTCATTTCTTAGGTGAAGTTTTGTTCATTTAAACTTTTTTATACGGAAGCCCGAGCTCACGCAGTTTATGTATAACGGGTTTCCGACAAATAATCTCTACATGGTTGTCCACAGATTTGCTTGGGATTTTAAGGTCACAGAATTCCTAGGATTTAAACTTTGTTTGTAGGCACATAATGGTGAAGGGACACAATTGTCTAGTGGAAATCACCAATGACACGCCCATTCCTTATGACGTACAGGCAAGATTGGTACGACTGTGGACGAGTCGCGGATGGTTTCAGCTGGCCGCGTGTAATTGAGGCGAACGGTAGTGGTAAAGTTCTCAGCTATGAAAAAGACTGGGCTACTATGATAGGATGTTCAGGGTACGTTACCTATGACATAAATAACACCGAGGTCACAATTTTGCCTTCGAAAACCCATATACAGGGTCCAACAAGCTCGGAGTTGGCACCGGAGAAGAGAGCGTCTGGAAAAACATGGAAAAACATGGTTACAAAGAGTTTACTGAAACCATAGTTTGCAATAATGGGCAGCGCTTGTTGTGCTACTGCAAGTGCACCGGTGGAGACACCAACACTTGTACTGTCATCCTGAGAAAATAATAATAATAATAATAATAATAATAATAATAATAATAATAATAATAATAACTGTTTATTCACAAATCCAAATCGGAAAGTTAAAAGGAGATAAAAGAGGTTATCCCTTTCTAGTTTATCTCCTGATAATAAAATACATTAAGAAATAAATTATTTACAACTGTTTAAAATAGTAACTATATATATATTTCTCAAACTCATTAATAATTCATAAAGAAAATTCAAAGGAAATTAATGTTTAATGAGTGTTTGGATATCAGATGAAAAACTGCTCATTTTTGCATCCTTAATTTCTCCTTCCAAAATGATTTTGTTTGAGAAGAAATATCAAACATTCGACACAGTGTTTCATCACCAGATGAAACACCTCGAGGTTCGTCAAAAATACTCCGCTGCGCGTCGTATTTTCAACTCTCTTCTCGGTGTTTCATCTGGTGATGAAACACTGCGTCTCATGTTTGATATATTACATAAAACATCACACAGTAAAAGAACTTAGTGTTCACTGGGAAAATCTGTAAGATAACGTCTCAGTCTGTTCTTGAAAATATTCAAATTCTCCGCCTCAGCAACTTCCTTTGGAAGATTGTTCCACTTATCTATTATGCGTATAAAAAAAGAATGTTTAAAACTATTTAAAGTTGCTGATGTAAGCTTAAGTTTAAAACGATGGTTTCATGTGCAAATGTGAAAAATGCCGAGGGATCAAGTCCATTAAGTCTATTTATTGTCTTATAACACTCGATAAGCGACGAAAATAATCTTCTTTGTTCAAGTGACGGCCATTTAAGGAGCTTTAGGCGTTCTTCGTAAGGCATGTCTTGCCCAATATTTCCAAGGGCGCCTTTAGATGCTCTACGTTGTACATTCTCCAAGGTGTTTAAAATTATAGATGAGAACTGAGTAATTGCACATTGTTGTGATAAGAGCTATTCTCTTTCTCTTAGAAAAAAGGAACCAAACTTGATGTATAGGATTTTAAAATAGAGGACGTTGTTGTAGAATCTCAGTGGTAGAGCTCAGATTAGTGTTACTGTAGGTGTATGAAAACACAGATTTATTGTGGAGTTGTCATTTTACAAAACATCATGCATAAAAAATGAAGAAAGAAAAGCTTGAAAGTTATCTTTTATTACGAAGTTGTGTTTTTGTCTTCCTTTAAAGAGAGCACGTAAAAAAATATTTTTGGTCAAAAAACGGGTACCCTACTTTTAACCAAACAAAATTACTGTATTCAGATAGAAAATACAGTGGAAACCGGTCAATACGGACACGAAGGAGACATGCCATAATCTCCGTATTATCCGAGTGCCGGTTATGAAACGGGATGTCAGAAAAAAACGTCTCGGATACATGCCATTTTAAAGATATAAAGAAACAGACATTTTTACGAGAAAACCAGTTTTTTTTTAATGTTGAGAAACATAAAAGTCCAAAAAAGCCCCATGGGCCGTTTAATTCATCATTGGCTCACCTTTAGTGACGTATGGCTCGCCAGGAGTCCCATTAACATTTCAAAACTTAACAATCTGTGAGAAAAAACATGATGGTTACAAGGAATTCACAGATGGCAGATTGAAAATAATACCTGAATACCGCTGTGGATATAAAGTAAATAGCAGTAAGAACAGGATGAAAACCGCCTTGATTGCCACACGATCTCTTTGTACTATCCGTAAAATACAAAGTAGGTAGGAGTTTATAGGCTGACCCCCTACACAACGTGAAACTACTGATTACTAGGCCAACAAAATCAACGAAAACGGGAGTATATAAAGCTAAATTTCAGAGAATCAGCAGAGAAGATATCTTTAATCTCTTTTTTCTCCTTTGAGTTAGAACTACAGTTAACTAAAACTTACCATACATCCCGCCCCCTTTATTTTCTGGTTTTTGTAGCGTATGTAATCCGTATTGTAAGTAATGCAAGTAGCTGTGGAGTATAGTACTGTTAGTAGTGTAAGTATCTCATTGTTAGTAGTGTAAGTATCTCACTGTAAGTAAGTATTGCAAGTTTTGTATTGTAAGTAGAGTATAGTAATGTTAGTAGCGTAAGTATCTCACATTGTAAGTAAGTATTGTTTTGTAACTAGAGTATAGTTTTGTTAGTAGCGTAAGTACGCTACATTGTTTGTAAGTAAGTATTGTAAGTAAGTACTTTGTAATTGAAAGTATTTTAATTAAATTAAAAAAAAGAAAACAGACAGGATGAAAACCGCCTTGATTGCCACACGATCTCTTTGTGCTATCCGTAAGATACAAAGTAGGTAGGAGTTTATAGGCTGACCCCCTACACAACGTGAAACTACTTATTACTAGGCCAACAAAATCAACGAAAACGGAGAGGGAGCGAACAGCGATCACGCGGTCGAAAATAAATTGATTGGTCAAGTTAATTAGTGAGTGAAACTAATCAGATATTACATGCAATGCGACTGAAAAAGCTAAATAAAAACGAATGGTGATATTCCGTGGAGTTATTTTATTTTATTTTTTTCGAAAATAGATTTGCAGAGGATCTTTGTGGATATGCAACAAAGCAACTTAAAGAATTGTTTATAGCGATTGTGGGAGAAAATCATTAACCATTTCATGCCCCAGTTTTTGTTGTGTTTTTCCTATAGCGAAAAGTCTTACCATATTAAAGAATGAGCTTTAAAATTCAAAGAAGACGCTCACACTAACGAAAAGCGGCAAGATCAAAGGCCGTTGCCAGCCCCCCCTGCACTAAACAATCAACCCTCGAATAAAGGAGCAAAAAATAATTTAAAGAAACAATAGTTCGTTAATAAAAGATAATCTGTTTCAAACTACACGGTGAAAAAGGGATGAACCCTTTCAATGTCAAACTTAATGAGTGGGCTGTATATGCTTAATATCCAGATTCTACACTGTTTCTGTTGGTTAGTATAACTAGCCATATCGGTAGCTGAAGATAATCTACTGTTGGGTAAGGGAAATGTCTAAATATTTTCCGAAAATTTAGTTGTCATTTTGAAGTAACTTCATTGAACTTTTTGAACATGTAACTTCTTCTATATTCTCTTTTCAACGAGTTAACTGATAAAATAATACTCGAAAGATAACAAAATGTTTAGAGAAAATTTGCTCTCCATCTTTCTCATGTTAAATATAACTTATTTTATTCATTTATTCGCTTTCTCAAGCAGTTTTTTCCTAACTCAAATGAAAACGCGTTCTGTAGAGAAAAATAAAAAGAATAAAAACGGAGAAAATTTTAAAAACAAGATTTTTTATGTAATTTTTCAACACTAGAAAGCCTGTGCTTCATCAAGATTTCCGTTTAATTAACATGGTAGCGGGTGAAAAACGTAAGACAAAAACAAAACTGAATTCAGTGGTACCTCGATATAACGAAGGGCTAAGGGACTTGCAAAATTTGTTCGCCATAACGAGGTTTCGTTATATCGAGGTTCTTTTCCATATATTTTACTCCGGGTACTCCGGTTTTTCCCTCTCCTCAAAAACCAACACTTCCAAATTCCAATTCGATCTGTAACGTACGGACATGTTTAAACGAGTTCATATGAACTCCTATGTGCTTCGTGGGTAAACAAGCAATTTAGAGTTCTTTTACTATTACTGGGGCAAAGAAAATCGTTCGTTATACCCAGGACTCCGCTATATAGAGGTTCGTTATATTGAGGTTCCACTGTAATGTGGAGTAACGAACTTGATGAAAGTGCCTATAAAAAGTTCATATTACGAGATCCTTCGCCATTTGTTTAGGACTTAACAGACGGGTAACTTTAGAGAAGTCAAAAGAGATATAAGAGAAATAAATTAAGAGGCGAATATTTTGTTTGTTTGTTTGTTTTTTTTTCAAGATATTCTTTTCAAACTTTTAACTTAATGACGTCTAAAGAAGGAACACTGTACGATAGCAGGCGCGGATCTAGGATAAATACTGACCGTTTTCCTAAACGAGAGCCGAAGGCGTAAGCTTCTAGGGGGGTCTGGGGGCATGCACCCCCGGAGGGCCTTTTTTAAAATTTCTACTCCCTAAAGCCACCTTTCCTGGTTTTCTGAGTCATTCAGTCAGGATATTGGCCAGATTTTAACTTGGAAAGTTTTTTTTCATGAAAAATTTATTTCTTTATGACAACTCTGATCGATTTTCGTAAAACGGTGGAAACCGGTGTGGATCCGCGCCTGGATAGGCCATCGTTTAGAAACCGCCAGTCGCTGTTAGCTTAGTTGTTTAAGTACCGAGATCATATCTTGAATTACATTTTAATATGTTTATTCATCAGATCAAGAAAGTCTTATGTATTTTTGAAGTAACAGGAACGTAGAACTCTCTCCAGTTGCAATGCATTTTAAAGTGCTCTGCATGGTTTGTATATGCGCGTTCAAATGGAGGTGCCGCGGCGAAACAGTTGACCAATGCCCGGCACAGGAAACAATTTCCAAGCACGCCCTAAAAGGTTATACGTTCAAGACGATAAAAGTGTCGAGTCCGTTTGAATGTCTATATCATTGCCATTACGAAGACAGATGCCAGAGTTATAACTACTTGAATGCCGAGGATATTTGCGAGATGAATAACCGAACCAAGGAAGCAAAGCCAAATCAATTTGTGCCTGACCAACGGCGGCTCTACAAGAAACGCAGGGCGCGCAGAGGTGATATGATCATTTATCTCCCCTCCGATAATTTTTCTTCTGCGCAAATAAACTAACGATTTTAAGTAAGAAATAGTTTAATTATCGAAAAACTAATATTCGAGAACCAAATTTTAAACTTAAAACAGTACTGACTGATCCTTACGGCAGGAAGAGAGATAGAAAAAATAAAGTAAGAAAACAAAAATCAAGTGGTGAATTATATTATTCACCACTTGATTTTCAAAATTTGGTACTCAAGATTTTACTGATCCAGGTCTACTAAAGATCCGGCTGACCCTCACTAGTCAGGAGCCGGCTCCTGCACTAGTTCATCGTTGTGGTTTTGCCTTCACAAGTATTTCTAGTATTCGAGAGTGACTTCTTTTTTGGAACACTCTAACATTTATGACACTGATCGGAGTTTAGCAACATAGTTGGTGACAGTTGTGCCAGCCTTGCCTTGTCCCTAGGCCTCATTTTTCCGCGTAGCCTATGCGTTTCGGGTCACGTGGTCCTAGCTTGTTTTTGATTGCGTCTCGGATGTACCAACCGAGAAGGTCTGGGAAGCCCTACACGGACAGGGCAAGTGACAGCCAAGTCCATAGGCGTTCTCGGCTCGGTCAAACCTCTTAACTACCGTGAGCTGTGACGTCACCGAGAGAGACTCGACTCGACTCGACTCGATGTCGACTCGTTCTCTCTCCCACCTTTTCCGAAACTTCGCGCGGACAAAGGGCAAGAGAGAATGCCTAAGAACTAGGTTGAATTAGTGAGTATTTTAGATGAAGACCCCCCCCCCCCCTCCTATGTTGCTCTTCACAGTTGTCCTAGGGTCCACTCCCTTGTTGCCTGGTGAATCGTGCCGGGAAATCAAAGCAAATGAAGCGGGAGAAGTTGTCAGTGGTAGTTTCTGGTTGGATTCCAGGAGTTCAGGAGAGGCTGTACTGGCTTATTGTGACATGAACACAGAAGGTTTGAGACTCCTTATTTTCTTTGTGTGTGTGATGTTCATGAAATTTCACACAAAACATTCCGGCCAGGGGTATTAGTTCCAAATTGTAGCGGTAAAAAAGGAATGAAACTTCAGGTCATAAATGTGGCCGAAATTTAAATTGGTTTTCCCCAGTCAAATTTTGCGCTCAGTCAAGAAAAACCTGCGATTTTAACTGGAAAACTTAGCATGCGAGTTTTCCTAGACGAGACCATGGAAAAACATTTTGAATAAACCTTGCTTATGTAGATATGATGCCCCGTTAACTTTCATTATTAAAATGCTTTATCGTTAGTTGCAGATTTCTGCTTCCGACATCAATGTCAGAATGGTGCATCATGCATTAATACTCCCAAAAGCTACAGGTGTTTGTGTGACGGATTGTGGACTGGTACCTACTGTGAAACAATTATTGTAACAGGTAACAAACGTTCTTCGTCCGTAAATTTTTAAGAAGTTACTTTTGCTACTTTTTCTACCACTCAGTTACTCAGTGATGCTTAAATTTTTTTATAGTCTGCGGACAAACTTCGTTCTTTTCCAGCCATTATTTGAATTCTCCGCCATAGCCGACACTCAGTTAAAAGACACTGGTCAATTGTTGTTTCAAAGTGTTAGAATCCGTGTTCTGTTAATAATATTTTCCCCAACCCCTATGAACTGGATTTTTAGGTCGCTTTTCGGTTCGGATTTTGAGACAAATGAGGTCTGACTAGAGCAAAAGGCACCTTCTATTCAACAGAAGGCTCTTATAATGAACTGAAAGTCTATTTTCGTTGCGCTATATAACAAATTTTTATGACCTAATCAATGTCAATGCCGACTCCAGTCAAATTTATTTCTATTCCGTCTTCTGCTTTGGTCGCAAACGTCCAGCTGATGTATATTTCATCTACAAAGACTAAACAGATATCTACCCTTGCAGCAAACTCCCCATCGAAATCTGCCTTAGCTCCAACGCGAGGGTCACCTACAATGGTCGCTACTGCTCAATTAACGTTTACAGCTAACCCGACTAACTGGATATCTACCCCGGCTGCAAACACCAAGATGTTACCTACCTTGGCTCCCACGCAGGTGAAAACGGTCTTACCTGCCCAATTGACGCCTTCAACGGTCTCAGCCTCACAACTGACAGCTACCGCGACTCCAGGCATCCAGTCGACTGCAACTCCGGGCTTCAGGGTGACTGTTGTCACCAGCGATGTTTATGGAGCAGGTACAGACGCTTTATTATACATCGCGCTCATTGGCACTGACGGAAGAAAATCGGGGTTGACTGAGATAGTTAGCGAGCCGGAACATTTCGAAACAGGCAGGTAAGTTCAATTCGTAACCTTTCGGAGGGATGGATGCTTTTAGATTGCAATCCAGTGCTCGATGAAATTTATTCAGGCGACTTATCTTTATTCACAGCCATCGGGGATCAAATTTATTCTACTAATTCAGTTGAACAACTTATTAGGCCCCGTCCACACGAATCTGAACATTTTTGAAGCCGCTTTTTTTTTGTACCCGTGTGGACGGGGCATTAAACCAGCACTCTGAACTGCAATCTCGTACCCACAGTCCTCGGCCTCCTTGGTCAGCGGGTGGTCGACTTTGGTGCGTGCGTCATGTATTAACAGAGTAACAAGCTAATAAGGTAACAGGAGGGAGGTAACAGAGTAACAAGCTGACATACGCCACTTCCACATTTTCCACAGTGCACCTTATTTGCCCCCCGCAAAATTTTGCATAAGCATCGTTTTCAATTTGTTTTTGGACGGCTGTAATAGTCCAGTTTCGAATTAAAAATTACCGCTGAATATAAACATTAACGACACATTCATACAGGGTTAGCCTCGACATAAAGTAAAATATTCAGAAATTCCGACAAGTAAGTGTTTGAAATTTGAATATACACAATAGACAGAGTAATAAACAGGTCTTTTTCTCGTTAGCATTTGTGAATATATTACTTTAGGTGGAGGCTAAGCCTGTGAAAAATGCATCTTCACTTTGGTAGTTCAGCGGTCATAGCGAACTCGAAACTGGATTATACTCAGGACAGAAGTGGCGTATAGTGAAAAGAGTAAGAAATACCTCGGGCTCTTTGGTCAGCGGGTGGCTTCATAAAGTCGGTTAGTACCTGATGTATGGGGACATATATTGTACCGACTTTACTTGAATCCATTGTGTCAATGTCGATTACTTAACTGTGGGTAAGAGATTGTTTAAAGAGCGGTTTCAAAAGGTGAAAGTCGTTTCAGTGGTTTCGTTTGGATGGAGGACCGATATGCGGGTTTAAAAAAATATCCGGATTCGTTTGGATGGGGCCTTAACTGGAAACCCTATTCGTTATATTTTCCTTTTTCTTTTATTACGGTGTCATCATAAAATTATAATTTTTACATGGCTTCAAAACGCCGCTTTTTTAACCTGCAAACTATCAAATAGAACGCAATAGAACGCAAATTTTTTTCGCGCGTTTCATTATATTCATATAGATATTTGCGCGCTATGAATTTTTAAATTATTATTATTATTAACGAATTTTGTGATATAGACTAAAAAAATTTGCACTGTGGTCATGACTGAGTGCCAGGTAAATATTGGAAACCAAGCTATCTGGTTTCAGTTTTAGAGTTTTGTATGAATTTTGTTTTTCTTAGTATTATTTCAAAAAACTGTCAAAAGTATAACTCAGCAAAGACTTCTCCAGCCTTGAATTGATACCGAAAGAGACGATTATTAAACACCAATGCAACCCTCGATCATGTACTTATGAAAAAAGCGTTTCTTAACTTCTTTATTTATAAATTAATTTAATTTGGATGACGTATCTGCTTAATGATTTTGTCAGTTTACTAACTATGGAATATTGAACCTAACATCTTAGAACGGATCACTTTATAGTGGAGTTTCAAGATGTAGGGATCATTAAACAAATTGCAATCGACTTGGAATCGACCGGCAGCTGGGGTGAGGGCTGGACAGTGGACGAGGTAGGCCTAAAGAAACTAAGCACATACAGGTAGCCCTCGTTATAGCGGACACCCTCGGAGCCACTTGAGAAGGCCATTTAGAATCACTTTTGTAGCAAAGGACCAACGCTCTGCGTAAACGACCACCCTCTATTATAGTTTTAACACACGGTCCCTTACAAGAGCTCATTCTCGTAAGGGACCAGCACGAGTTACCCCCTATAATATAGGTACTCTAGGTACTCCCGGAGGCTTTGCCTAAAAGGGGGACCTTTATCAGGCATTTCATGAGTTGAAGTATAAAAAAGTGTTGGGAAAACTGTCATTTCGGGCTGTAAAAGGACCCAGAAGGGTCAAAAGATTCATTTTATGGCTAAGAAAAAGTCACGAAAACTTCCTAGTTTAGTGATGTATTCATCTTTAAAAGACAGAACATTTACAGCAATTAGAAAGGGTATCATTTGTCAATAGATGGCTTTTGAAAGGGGTATATAAAAGGGTATAAGGGGTTGGACCTCGGGGTGGAGCTCTCCCGCATAGAACGTTTTTGAGTGCCCCACCCGGGACTCAGAGGACCTCAGAGGAGATGAGCCAGTACAGATCGTAGGTCCGTATGTAGGGCAAAATAGAAAGAAGTAGACCGCCAGCAGTCCCTCGGGATTGTCCCGCGGGTGAGCATGTCACATGTGAGTGACGGAGGCTAACGGAGGAGGTTTCCTCCTCTCTCCAGTTCCCTCTCCGATCGTTTGTTCTCTCTAGTTCTACCAAGCCTTGACTAACTGAAAAGGGGGCTGGTGGCAGTCAAAGAAGAGAATTGTGGAATGAGAGTCGATTGAGAGGGTGTCTCTACAAGAAGTAAAGAAACTAGAATAAGGAATTCCCGCCTCATGAACTACAAGGGTCAATTTGTAGACAGAGGTTAACCGTTTTGTTCTCCTTTTCCTCTCGCGCTTTGATCCTACTTTTTTCTACAACAGATAACTATTGAAGATCCCAGTCGTGAGAGGACCTACAATTTCAATGGGCCGAGAGATGTTTACCCCCAAGACGATCCACTCGTTTTACAAGCGTCCTAAGACAACGGCGTTTCTGGATTGGACCCCAGAAGCAGACATATTAGGGCCAGGAAAGCTCAAGTTTCTTAGCAATAGCTACGCCTGCGCAGGAGACGACGTGGTAAACGCAACTTTTGCTTCCTGCTTCCTGAACCAAAGTAAAAATTTCTACTTTCCGGGGCAAATTTAGCTTCCGAAGAACGTGGTTTCGAGGATGTACACCGTTTCCGCTACAATGTTGTTTGATTTAGGCAGTTTTAATACAGCAGTTCACTGGGACCTTCTTTGTCCTAATATGATTAGGTGTAAGCATGATGAACAATATAATCCAACAAGTAGAGACTGGTCCTGAGCGAAACTCCCAACATTGAGATTCTCGGGAAACAAAATTAGCTGTTTCCTGAGGGACCAGTATTTAAGTGATTGTTATATAGCTGGAACTTCATTTAAACTCGCTGTAACGGCGGTCGTCGGTCAACATTCGCGGTTAACAGTGCACTGTTACCCATTGACGTCATAGATTTTGCAATGTTTTGTTTTCCGAGGGACCAGGCTTTAAGTGATGTGTTATAGCTGGAAATTCATTACACCTCGCTGTAACGGCGGTCGTAGGTCAACATTTGCAGTTAACAGCTTACGGTTACCCTCTGACGTCATAGATTTTTGCAATGCTCGAGCAAGAGTTTCATTGTTAGATGTCATGTGACCTCGAAGTAACCAATGCGCGCTATTGGGCAGAAATTTCCAGCTATATAACAATTGCCTTTGATTGCCCAAAGGTAGCCAATGACAAAATCTAGCGAGTTCTCAAGGCATGCAATTTATACTGACGCAGATGCAATGTGTTCAAATGGCGGATTTTCGAAAGTTTCTTCTCACAATATTTAGAGCAAGTGTTCAAAAGACCTTCAGGATAACAAGAAAAGTGTACACTTAGATGAAAACAGAGAGAACATCAGCGGAACGAATGGTCTTGGCCAAGCGTGATTTGTATAAGCAATCGCGCGCGCAAGCTCTTGACTCTCTATTACCTGTGCACACAGTTTGAAGGTTTTCCTCTTATAAAACAAACGATTAACGGCTAAGCGTTACTACAGAGTTATGGATGCATTTGGTACGCAGAGCCTCCTGCGACTCTTTCCCTTCTTTCCAGCTTAGCAATCCCCGGCGCAGCTCTCATCCATAACTTAATTGTACGCGCTGAGCTCGTAACCATTAGATGACTAGACTAAAAAAATTACCCCAGCTCTGCAGTTAATTGCATGAATAAACCATTGATTGCATACTAGCGAGAATGAGCGAGCTCATTCTCTGTTGTTGTATATAACCGGCTCAAAGCACAACAGTAAATATTGCATGTGACTACTATCGTATGGTGGAAATTGTTTACATTTCGCAAAGTCGCGCATCCTTTAGACAGAAACGATAACCTTTAATCTCATATATTTCCCACAGAACATGGCGCCCCTTGTACAACTTACCAAATATCGCGAAAGGTTTGCTTATCATTCCACTCAAGTTACTAACCGGTTTATTACAATGCTCGTTCCCCTGTATTATCCTTTGTGGATCCTAGCTTACTCTCAAGACTAATCCATCGTCCGCTTTAGGTTCTGAGATCAAGGCACGCACTAGTATAGCTTGCTTATTTTATAGACGATAAGGCAAGCTCCTGGCAAACTCCTGTTCATATAATACAGTTGCAGTTAAGTATATTACAATTAAGGTATTATCGCCTACAATAATATTAACGCGGGTTAGCTCGGACTTAGCATTGCATGGTCATTTTGATAATAAATAATTTTCTCCACTCTTCCATTCACTGAACAATAATAAAATACAGACATTCCAAAGAAAAATGTCCTTTCGTAAACAGATAATTGTACAACCTTTTGTGAATGTTCCACAAATTGACTGACGCGGTATCCTACGAGGCGCGGTGGCTGTACCCAGATCACGTCACGAAACAAACTGAACTCAGAGCTCGCTTCTTATGTCGTCCCGTGACATTAACTTCTTTATAGGGTTGCTTGTTGGACGGTGTCTAGTTTTCACTCGCAGGCTTAGGCGGTGATCAGCAAATTTTCTGTGGATAGACGTTAAAGACAAACAATTAGTCTCGTAAACTAGGTGTGAAAGATTGAAAAGATTAAAGAAATCTAGACTGTTCACAGACGTTCTTCTTATTTTGGACAATTTGGTGAGCGCGCGAGAACGATCACGAAGCGCGAGAAAAAACCAAAAAAGAGACAGAGAGGAAGAAAGAGGAAGGAAACACATTTTTTTTCATTTCCTTTCCCCACCCCCACTCCCACCCCCTTCCGCTTGCAGTCACCCGTGGATTCTATTTTCATACACGCTCGACGATCTCTAAAGAGAAAATAGAGGGTCTGTGAACGGGAAAAAGGAAATCAAACCTTACCAGGAAGGTCACATAAGGGCCACAAGGCATACATTTTGTATCGTCAGAAAGCGCAAGAAACAAAATACGTTTCAATGATGCACGAGTATGTCTGCTTATATAAATTCTGTACCATATGGTCAACCTCGTTCCCACAGGCTGCGATACTTTAGGTCAGTTACAAGAATCGACTTGGGTTACGAAGAATGCCTTAGTGGAGAGTTCAAGCTTCACGTATACGGCAAGCGTCAAACGTCTGATTCAAGTTCAGAATTTCTCAAAATAGAAAATGAGCAGATAAAAATAACTCAAAACAATTCTTATGGACAAAAGATTGCGCTAAACTACTAATTTATGTGTAGAAATAATGGACAGTAAACGATGAGTAAAGGGGAAACTTGGTGAAGTGGTACAAATGCGGTCATGAAAGCAACAAAACAAGTAATACCACCATTTCACTATAAACAGAAATTAAAAAGGCCTTATTCTCCAGTCATCACATCCGCCCATCCACTCATTTCATTCTACAGTAACACCCTAGCACACACTCCGTTGACTACTTGTTTATTGAGTACTGTGAGGAACTTGAATTACGATGCTTTTCACTCCAAGGGGAAGGAGACGTTTAAGTGACAAGAATGACCGTAGGATTCTTATAGGTTTGAAATTTTCCGTTCCGTTTTTATGGAGGTATGAAGTCTGGTTTAGGGTTGTCTTTCGTTCCTTTCAGAGAGCACTAAGGATTTTTGGATCATAATACGTTTCTGGGAAACTGCCCACCTACACCTCCCCTAAGCCAACTTTAATACATAGGACAAAATGTTGACTTAGGGGAGGGGTAGGTGGGCAGTTTCCTAGAAACGTATAATGATTCCGGATTTTTTGGGGGTTTTCATTCATTTCCTGCCTTATTCGATTATTCCCGTTCCTTGAAATCCTTAGTACCCCTCTTGGGTTCACTCGATCTGAGATCATCTACTCAGTACTCACCGTATGCCTGCGAGGTAACTTTCCGACATGTCGTCAGAGGAATGACGTCTTTTCTAAATGGTAGAAAATCGCACAAAAAAGAAAAAACATAATTGACATCTCTTCAATTTAAATAACTACGAACGTTCTTAGCTGATTATTGATATTCTTTATACAAGCCCGCCAACCTCGTCCTTTTATAAGGGAAAAGCCCTGGGGACGAGGCTGCAAGCCCGCAAGCTACTTTGTATTAATGGAAACGTTCAAGAAAAAGTTTTGTTTGACCTAATTGCTAATAAGCGCCATCGAACGTCTTAATTTTCTTTTTGCATAACAGCTGACGTCAAAATATCATGTTGCTACGATTCCACCAGTTACCAGTGACCTTGGGTTATAATTAAAGATGTTAAGGAAAAGTTAAGGTTCAAATAAATTTACGAAAAATAAAAAAATGAGAACTTACTACTACTCTGTCTTTCGGTTTGCCGAGAACATTCTCCAGCTCTGCCTTAAGCAAACTCTTCTTGCCGTTTTCTTCCTCTACGGCCTTCTTTAAATAAAAGGAAAGCGATAAAAATTATCCGCCTTTCTGCGACAAAGAATCATTAATCACTCATCCCGATTAATATTTTTATGTCCCAATTTGGTTTAAACATTAGCACCCCGGGGGGTATTCAACCAAGTTTTATACGGGAACGGTCCGCTCTGCGGTCCAACCCCTTACCCTTTTATATACCATTTTTGAAAGAAAAGGTAACCACCTTTTGTATACCCTCTATTGACAAATGGTACCCCTTTCACAGACCTATATTAGTTTAGAACTTTGCCTGCGAAAACATCCGTTTCTCCCCGCTCTTCGCCGCTGGGGACGTTTCGCTATTTAGAACTTTGCAGCCCTTTTAAATGATGAAAATGCACTGTCTTTGAAGGGGCTGTCACGGCAGGCTAGTTCATTTTGTTTAATTTTGCCAATTACTCGCCCTCAATCTCTATGGAACTTAAAGTAAGCAAAGAAATTACATGTAAATGACAAAATCAGAGATCCGAGACAAACAAATATGTCTCCTGAGCATTATTTTTGAAGTTGCAAGCAGCAGGGATCATCTTTTAAAAACTGTTAGGCTGAACAGTTTTCAAAAATCCTAAATTCATTGAATCCGTTTCAATCTTCTTCAGTTTTGCCCATTCGTGGCATCTGTTGTTTCTGTTGTGGAGTATTTTAACCTTCCTTTAGAGTTTTAATTGGTTATTTTTATGTTTCTCTTAACTTTAACGGGCATTTTGTAATTTGCTAATTTGGCTGAATTTCGTGACACAGCTCCTTTAAAATATGAATCAATCACAAAACCAGGACGTTTTCTAGATTTTTTCACGGTCACAAAAAGCATAAAAGCCCTTTATTAAGGCAAGGAATTTCAGACCGAAATGACCCTTTCATACACTTCAACTAGTGAAATCCCTATCCATTCATATGCCACAGTCCTGAAAAAAGTGCCCCTCTCGGGCGGAGCCTTCCCGTATAGGCCAGTACTAAAAGGACTATTCTAATTTCCGACGAGTACCTCGTCCCTCCCAAAACGAGAGTAATCCCTGTTTCAAGCCCGTCATTTTTTCCTCTCCGTTGCCTATGTGCTTCACTAGAGTGACTAGCCTGGCTCTCCATTTGGGGGCCATCGTGAAAAGTAGACGCACGAGAAGTACGCACCCCTCGCGGTTCGCTTCGCTCGCCCAAATAGGAGAGCTTGTTCGCAAGCTAGAGAATGACAAGGAGAGGGGAAACGAAAACGCGCGGTGGATTGTGGGAAGGGAAAGTGAAGAACAGAGGCTCCCTCCATTTTTTAACTGAATTTCTTCTTTGCTTCGCTCCCCTCGCGCGCACTATTTTTCAATTATTTTTACATGTATTTTATGTTTGAACTTCTCAGTGAGAGCCTCTGCGGAGGAGAAAAGAGTCCATCTCACCTTGTGTTTGCTCCGGACGCGCGATGTCCACTCAGGTGTGGGATAACCATATTTCTTCTTTTCTTCAATATTCCGAATGTCCTTTGCGCTTGGCTTAACTACAGGACTGTTTTCTTTGCTCCAATCTGGCCGCTCGTCTTCCCATATATCTTTCTTTTTTGAAGATGCTTTCTTTTCTAGTTCCTTTATGAGACTGTCCTTTGGTTTATCGACGGGACTTTTCCCCTTGGCCCAATCGGGACGCACCTCCTCCCATATCTCATCTTTTGCTGCTTTTGATTTTTCAAGAGATTTTAAAGTTCCCTCATTAGTTTTAGATAATGGCCCCTTTCCTTTTGCCCAGTCAGGTCTTGCCTCTTTCCAATATTCAGACTGTGTATCTGCCTGTTTGCTTGTGTCTTTCTTTCGTAGAGAGGTCTTCGTCCATTCGGGCTTTGGTTTAGTTTTCGGTTTTTCCTCGGCTTTTTCTTTCGGTCTTCCGATAAGAGGGCCCCGTTCTTTGCCTTTACGAGCCCACTCTGGCCCCTGTAATCAATAATCGATACTTAAAATGCAACAATCTCCAGAAAGAAAAATTTTTAGACTAAGAAGCGTCACAAATCTTCAACGACTGAAATTAACTATGGTTACATTGAGAAATTACAGAGAAAAGATGCAAAGCTTAGAAAACATAAAAGGGTATCAGTCTAAAAAGATTTTTTTAAGACCGACCTCAAAGTTGAAAGTTATGCAGAAGTTTTTAAGATAAGCAGCGTTCAATAGACTGATTCAACATTACTTTAAATCTTCTCAGCGTGCCGAGCTGGAAATCGCACAAGATTAAACGTCCGAAATACATGGACTTAAACGATCGCACGTCAGCCGAATTTTTGGCCAAAGTTTCTCATCTAAAGTTTCCGCCCGAACAACATTCTCCGAGCTATTTGGATGCCTGTCACCAGTTTTTATCCAGTGAAATACAATTTCGTCGCAATTTATACGCTTTGCAATGGTTAGACACCCGGCGAGCACAGCCTTTTGTCTTCTTAAAGGGCCTATGTCAGGTGGGGCACATGCGCAGTAGAGTCCGCTCGAGTCTCATTTGCATACAACTAACAGCCGGGGTTTTGAGGAGGTGGGGCTCCTAAAGAGGGTTCGTTTTAGTGGGTCATGCTGAGTCATTCAGTTAACTAAGAATTTACACAATCTCCGGATGAGATTTCAATAGAACACACGTTTTTCGGATGTTCCACGAGACGATTTCCTGGAATATTGAGTGGAACTTGAAAAAGGTAGTCACCAAAATAGTCGGAATTTTTCGTATTTCGTCTGCAGCAGCTCAGCTGAGTGAGAACATCCTTATGCTGTCATCCCATTAAGGTTTTTTACTTAAAGAATAGGCAAGACTTATTACAGCTCACTGTTGACAAGAAGTGTCCATATTAGTCAATTTAACTGTCTGTGAGTCTGCTGATTGGACAAGAGAAGTGTCCGTTAGGTCTGCATTTAGGGATTACCGTACAGACGCTTTACACATGACGTCGCGTCCGCCTTAACTTGTTGGTGTCCCAAACATTAATACCGCGATTTCAGACAAGACGTTATGGTGTCCCAAACCACTCCTTTTAGGAACTCTTTGTTGCCCCATGTAAGGCGATGTAAGGCTGTCTTGGATTCCACGCTATGGTGTACTTGTTTCCAGTCTTTGTCAGTGGAACTTGGATTCCGGATTTCAAGGTCGGATTCCAATCGTTAGTGGGATTCCAGATTCCTTGAGCTGTATTCCGGATTCTATACACAAAAATTTCACGGATTCCGGAATCCCTTACACGGGGCGATCTTTGCATAGGTACACGCTTTTTTGTGTCAATAAATTAGGATAGTAGAAGGCCCTAGCAGAGGGCCATGGCGTTCTCTAAGGATAAAAAAACTTGCCCGGCGTAATAAAATTGAGTCCGTATTTAGTGGGCGTCCATAACGGAGGGGTTCGACTTGTGTTCACACCAGAAGGTTACTAGACCTTTACTAGAGCCTCTTTTATTTTGGTGGGCGTCACGGAGTCAATGACGAGTGAAAGGATATATCAAGCAACAAAACGGCACTATGAAGTCAGCCAAACCACGTCGTAGAAAAATGACTTTATTGAATTATAGAAAATACAACGAAGTACAAACGACGATATAACTCCGGCATTTAATGCAGCCCGACTACAGGATATATCTCACTTAAAAAATTTCTTGTATCAAAAATGTTTTATCGGCGAAATTAATTAAAAAGGACTTATAAAGCAAAATGTTTATACAAACAACAACAAAAACACTGAAACTTTTGCAAATAAAATTCATCTTTCCCACTGCAGATTTTTGAATGCATATAATAAACCACGAACTCTTTCATCGCAAAGTGATTGCATTACACAGAGAGCAGGAGTACGTCTCGTAAGTACCAAAATCATACGCAGTTAACTTACGGTGACAAAGGTTACAACAATCAATGTAAACCAATCAGACTAACTAAACAGTCGCTGGACTTCTTAAGTGGGTTCTCTATTTGTCTACTCGACACTACTCTCAAAGATGCGCCCTTGTTTAGTAGAACTGGCCAATAAGAAAATGACTTGTAATGCGGTCATATTGCGCGCTGCCTTAACTCCGTTTAAATAGCTAACCCATACCCTTTGGCCTTGGGATCAGTGTAACCGTTTTCAATTGTTCAGATCTGCACACATATTCTTTACACTGTCTTCCAATGTATTTCCTGTTGTAATGATAAGAACACTTTACAACGGTGACGACTGCCCTTATTCTCTTGACCTATATGATTGATTAAGCCGTGATGCTATAAGGAGAAATCAAATACTGTTTACTACTGGGTTTACCCTGTTATTTTAGAATGAATCTACTGTTCAATGTCCTCTCTGGCATGTTGCGAACTGTCCCTATAGACAGCGCCTTTTGTTGACACTGTTTTGGCTATACTCCGGCAACGTCAGAGATTCTTAGCAAAATATTTCACCTCATGAACGTAATCTATAATCAGGCATAGAGGTGCAGAGAATAAGAGAGCTAATCACGGACCAGCAAGGTGTGTGGAGGAAGGCTGGTTAAAAAGTAACAGCAGTTTCCAGATGGATATGGGCCTCCCTCCACCCCCACCGCATGTAAACGGGTTTTCATGAGCTAAATCTCAACGAGGACAATACACAATTTACTCGGCTTAAAAAAAAAAATCATACAAAAAGAGCCTTAAAAATCATTATTCTAAAACGCTTTTAGAAACTTACTTCCATAGCAAACTACCTAATAAAGAATCCTAAAAAACTTTAGTAAGTTTAATCGTCGTCTTCGTTTCTTGGGACTTTATTCAAGCTCACAGCTTTCCATTCGGGTTCCCCGCCTTCGCTTTCGATACCGGGACTTTTAGGTGCTTTTTTGAGACCTTCCCGCCAATCCTGACGTTTGCTCTCGCCTAAGTCTCCCATTTCTTTCTTCTCGGTCTTCTTGAGTGCCACCCTTCCCGACCAGTCGGGTTTTTTGTCCGCCTCTTTCTTCTTCTCATCACCCCATGGCTTGGTTGATCCCTTTTTCAGCTGACTCTTCGCCCAAGCTGGTGCTTCTTCTTTCTCTTCCTTCTTCTTACCTTTTTTGTCCTTCTTCAGTCCAGTTAACAGTGGGCTGTCCGTGCGTTTGACGCGGTTCATTTTGCTCATTAGTTCCTCGCTCATCTACAAACAAGGCAAGCAAGACAGTCAGAATACTTTTTTAAAATTCCTTAACACTTAAGTGAACTTCTTTCACTGATAATTTTAAATTCACGTCTGGAAAACGTTCCAGGGTTTAGAGTTAAGATTTAATTTCTCTCAGCAGCTAGCCCTGAACCCTCTCTTTTTAACATAAAAAGATAGCTTTTTTCCTGCTGATAGTGTAATATTTTGTTATCGTGCACCATCCACAGTAAAACACCAGACCTAGAAAATAATAAATTCCACGGTCTTCCAGGCTATATACAATAGCTATTATAATTGATAGCAAGCAGTCTTTTCAGTTTAGGCTACCTAACTCGAACATATTTAAAATACAGGGACTTTTCCCGTTCAACGAACCTTTTTTTCCTTTTTCAGCAGCTTTTCTCAGATAACAACTTCATCAATGTCAAGTCCATCGACGGAAGGGTATAGAAGGCATTTCTGACTAAAGTCGGTTAAATAACGGGAAAAAAATCGACGCCGGAACAGTCGGACGCAAACGAAAATGCGAACAACATAGTGATTAACAATGAAGAAAATGAATTTTCAACTCGAACTCTTTTGATCAGAAGGCTGATTTGATTCAAAATCGGTTTTTGGTAGTCTTCGAATGCCGTTTCACAATAAGAATTTACTCAAAGAGAATAGCCGGTGACAGGGTCCGCCCGTGCATGTGGTAGTATCACGAAGACCTAAGACGCTGCGCTGCGTCCGAGACTTGAGGATTAAAGTGCGTATGCACGTAAATTTTACGCGCGTAAATAAAATAGAGGCAATGTATGGAAGGTCACTGGTAAACGTAAAAGTTGAGCGAGGTTAACGCGTTTAAGCGTGGCCCTTCATACACTGTTTTTAGTTCATTTACGTACGTGCGTTCACACGGAAAAATTACGCGACAGTGGAAATCAGCCCTAAAGGACAATACCTGCAGTTGTTGTCCTCCTATAATACAGGAGTTAACGGTAAACGACAGCCGAGGACGACATTGCGTGACTTTCCGAACAATTAGAAACCGTCAAGACCGACTGGTGTCACACTTTCAAATCGAGACGCAAAGCAAAAGTTAGAGAGAAACCTTCTTCGAGTATCACACTTTATAACTTTGGAAAACAAGTCCCATACGACTGCGGGGACGCAAATAAAACAACTTATTAACAGTTCCATTGATTTAAGAGTCAACAGCACCGACAGGATCTGAAATCTCGTGCTGAAAGAAAAGAGCTTGAAACTGACCTTGTTGGATTCTTTCTGTTTGGCTTTCATCGCCATGAACTTTTCTTCCCATGCGGCGGCTTGAGCTTTACGAACTACGTTGACAAAGTTGCCTTTCTGTTGAGGGCAAAAACAAAAATCAACATTAATGAATAAAATGACAAAAAACATACAACGTATCACAACTTAAACATACCAAGAAAGAATACCTTACGTCACAAGGTCTCATATTTAAAAGCAATAAAGCTTTTGACTGTGCCAGGCAGTCTTATCAGCAAACTGTCCCAGAGTTGTCACGTGAAAACAAAGGATTAACAAACGAGGGTAGTTCAAACCGTTATCTTCATTTTACAGTTTTTTCCTTGATCTTTCTGTTAATGTCCACGGTCTCCTGTTGAAGGATTTTGACCTCCTCCCAGTCGAGCTCATCATTGGCCATAGACGGTATAAGTCACGTGACAACTCTTAAGATATTCAGTATTCTGATGAAGACTGCGCGAAAGAGTCAAAAGACTCCAAGGTGAAGAATAGGTATTCACAGTATACTGTATTACATAATGGATTGACATCATAATTCTATACAATG